TGGGTTTTAAAGTAAACATATGCCGACTGATTACTCCGTAAGCCACACAACCATTTTGCCGACGACGATTATAGATTATAAATAGTTAGTCAGGAAGCCGCGTTCGCTGTGAAGTGAGATGTTCCCTATAAGTAACTTTTACCTGAACCACTCACGCTCAGTAGCTAGTTATATCGATCTGTATCTCGGGCAAATTAATTGCTGATTACATTGTCACGTAACACAATTTAGGAGTGTGATTGAGGAACAAGTATTTTCACTGGTTTGAAAATCGTGTCTTCATCAAGGTAAACTTTATGAAAAAAGTAGCAAAGCGATGAAGATCCAAACTGACTAGCGTATTGAGAATTCCAAAGCTAGGAAGGAATCTGTTAATGAACGTTTTTAAGGATTTCCGTTTATTTTAATAATGTCTACTGAGTTTATTCCGAAGCTCGAGTGAAATAGTTAATCATAAACTAAGAAACATAAATAACGTCTTCCTAATATACAGCGATTCTGGAATATACCGGTACATATCTCAAACTTTTTCGTGAATGGAAATTTTGCACATGAAAATAGTACAGCAAAGCATCCAAGTGTTTACTAGTGGTAGTGATACTGTAAAGTTTAACGCGACGTACCTAGTTTAATTTAATTATAGTTGTTGTCTGTGTTTAAAGATATCCCTTTCATGTTTCACGAATTTTGTATTTCCATTGCTTGAGTGGCTATCTGTACTCGTTATAACCAAAGTCTTAGTTAGAATGCATAAGATCCATGTCAAAAAGGATCCATCGAAGCCATAGTCAAGTTCGCTACCGTGTGAAAAAGTTTGCGTGACTCATGATAAAGTACTAGTGTTATTGGAAAAACAAACAGATTGGTCTATTGATAAGCTGAGTTGTAAAAACTTGTTTGCACTTCTTATCTTGAATTTATTTCAATTCTTTACCTTCAAAGATTTAGTGGGAATGTATAAAATAAAAACTAGTCGGAAATAATAACAATTGTGCAATGATTAACAATTGAATAATTAAGTTAGATATGCGTCAAAGTGACCTCACGGAAAATTCTCTCAACGGAACAGTTTTTACGGGCCACCTGTAATTTTTTCCAGGCGAGTAGAATAAAGAACCTGCTTTCATTTGGTTATATTTATTTACTTGACTGTGATATAACAGACAGCATTTGACAAGTTCAAAGTTTGCTAATATTAGCATTATCACTTTATGTTCGTAAATGGTTCAGCTTCCGAAGTTTAACTATTTTTAAAGTTTAAGAGATGCTCCACAAACTGTGTAAAGGACATGTTAAGACAACGTTTGGTACGTCCATACGAATATGTTAAACATGCGCCAAATTTCAAGTCTCACGGCCACCGCTGAAGGCCCTGTGGCCGAATTTTCAAGTTTTGCAAATTTTGAAGCAAGGAAAAGGAAATCGAACCTATTGATGTCATTTCCGAAAATAGTTAACCAAATGGGTTCTTTTGGTCAAGTAAGAAAAAACTCGATATTTCGCTTCTGTCGGCTGATTCTCGATATTTTCGGATTTACGCTCTTAATATGATGCAAAAGAAGTGGCCACAGAAAATATCTTACACAATCTAACATTAATTCTATGGTCGCTGGATTCATGAGTCTGCATGTACTAATTAAGACGCCACTTTGTAATTTCACCAGGATGCCCTTCTTTCTGGACACCATATGCAAATTCTCACTATGCCGTTTTCTCGACCCTAAAGTCTTGGGAGCAAGCTGAAGCATTTTGCAATTTCATGAATGCCCGACTGGTCAAGATTGACTCTAATGAAGAAAGGTCCTTCATTGAAACCCTAGTTCCAGATACGAGTGTCGCGTGGGGCTACTGGGTCGGTCTAACTGATGCTGACAGGGAAAATCATTGGAAATGGTCTGACGGAAGTCCACTCGGTGCCTATACCAACTGGGGAACTTACGAGCCAAATAATTACCTGGTCGAGGAGGATTGTGTAACTTTATATAATAAAGTGTGGTATGATATACCTTGCGATTCTAAGGTTAAGTTCATATGCGAGAAAGAAAAAGTAGCTTGAGAGGTAAAACAGATGCCGCATGATTGTTGGGCTCCTTCAACTTTCGAAAATGACACGTGATAACCAGCCTTTGCTGCAGGTTAAGAGGAAACAAATAGAGGGTAATACCCTCCCAAACTTAGGTAGTGGTACATTGGATCCTCTTAATTAAGAAAGCTCTAAATAACGAGGTCCTAGGAATAACGAACAATATTTATTGAGCCCCGAATAACGAAACCTCTTTATAGCGAACGAATGTTGCCGATCCTTTGGTCCTTCGTCATGTCAAGGTCCCACTGTATTGATATGGCTTCCATCTCGAAAATTACATCTTTTATATATATTTCTTACACTTAGATTGATTTCTGAATGGCAATAAACGTAGAGTTTTCTATATACTTCTTTTAAGCTTCATTATCATTGCTTAATTAAATAAATTTTGAAGATAAAGAAGGGTGACGGATTCTTCCTCTCCGGTCGTATAGGATATCAGGAAGAAAAGGCGGATCTGAATAGTTCTGAGATATTATCGTATAGGGGGATTCATGCTGACGTCATTGTTTACATTTTTGCTCATTTGCATTCGGCTTGCGTACAGAAGGAAACATGTTAGATATAAATTGACCCCAGGCAGCTAAAGAGCTAGTGAAATTTAATACCTGGTGAAAATTTAGCTCATTGGGAGTACTATTCAAGGAGATATTGTCTTTCAAAAACTGCAAAATATCTGGGTGGTATAAGCGCTAATGAACTTATACATTCTCTGTAAAATTTTGAGTTTTTAAGCCCGTGTTGCACAGAAAGTATTTAATACATCAGGCTCATTTTTATTGGCAGGTTTAATCGCACTATTGCCTTTCAATATTCAGAACTATTTTATTTGTAGCTCCATCAGACACTGAATTGCTTATGCTAATGAATCAAATATTGTAAACAAGGATTCCCTTATACTCGAGCCACAAATGCCAAACGCATTAAGCATTATGATAGTTTTTTATTATTTTTTTTCTTCGAAATTATTGCTTCGTCTATTTTACAATAACGAATTTCCTGTATGTTTGCTTTCTAAAATGATCCTCTTACTTTTAGAAACTGTCAAGTAGTTTCAATAAAGCATTCGACCAGTTAAAAAGACCCGGTCTCCTGCTGAGTTTTCCGTCGCATTCAACTCGGAGAATGCATGAGATCTTGTCGATTTTTTTCAACAGTTTATAAGTGAGGTTTTCGCGTATTCTCTATGCAAATGGGTCAAGTGAATACCTTTACTATGATTATTAAAATATTTGTAAACTGTATGTACATATTTATATTTTCAAGACACCACGTTATATGCCACGTGAGTCATCGTTCATAATTAACTTAGAGCTTAGACATCGATCCTGGCCATGAGTTTATGCCACCAAGTCGCGTATGCACATGGTCGACAATGTTTTCTGTAGTGTCTTCGGTCACATTCATCCTAGAACAAAGTGGTGTCCCTTCGCTGTCTTTTCTTAAATTTCACTCCTCCTGAATATCTTCTTTCTTGATTGTACATTTCCAACCCAGCCATTACCTGCAAGGAAATTGTTCCTAATGGCTCACTTTGGTAAGAGTGATGGCTTGGTCCGAGGATACTAGCCCGAGCACTTATGGGGGTATTTGTGGTACCAAATAAAGAAATATGGCACGGAACGCTAAGAGACTAGAAAGCTGGATGCAATGGTGATTTTATATTCTAGAGAATATAATGGACCATTCAAGAAAATTGATTAAAAAAGTAAAGTGGCAATGAAAAGGGGATTTCCAAAAGCCAGACTTCGTCGAGGAAACTTTGCTCAATGCGCTTTTAATCACCATTTATCCCATCTTATCGTCCTCTCGTTAGTTTATCATTGTGTTCCCCCCGATACAAGTGCTCGCTCAGTTACTCTCAGCGAACCGTCTTGCAAGAAATTAAGGTGCTGATCAAACGAGTAAACAAGGAAACGAGCAAATAAAGCTAAGCCAGAAAAATATTGCGCACTTTTCCTATTTTAGGAAAATACATTTTAAAGTAGGAATTAAGTAAAAATTTAGTACCTTCCTTGAAAACCATGGTGAAGTTTAAGTTTTAAAGTCTTTAGAGTCTTTAAAGTTAGATAGAGAGTAGATATTTTAAATAAACTAATCAATTGTACCTTTTCACCGTGGTAATCCGCAAATGTAACGTGAACAAAAATAGAGGCCTGTTGGTTTCCTTCAAGATGGACATGTCTGAAACCTTAAATGAAAAGGCAACAAATAATAATTAGTCTAGATGAAATGACATCATAACAACAGAGAAAACAAAAACGGTAAAACAATAACTTCAGTGGCAACAAAAACAACATCGCCAACTTCATTCGTAAACATATTTACAATTAAAAATATATATAATAGGCCATTTCCGAGTTACCTTGTGCCTCTGTTTCAAAACGCGTCTTCGTGGAAAACCTTTCTTATGAAAATGGTTTGATTTGCATGAAAATGAACCTGTAGGCCGTACACGTTTTCACATGAGTAATTTCGAATGAAGAATCGCTTTTGACATATAGAGGTGTGACGCAGCTCTGAAATGGCCTATCAAATAAATTTTAGGCCGCTTGGAATAGCCATAGCGACTACAGGACCCAGGCAATCAACTAGGGCGGTAAGTAAATAACATGATAAAATGAATAACTATAGTCCCTATAGTCTATGTGCAGCGGTACCAACACACCAGAAGTAAACAAACAAACAAACAAACAAGAACAAAAACAATAGCAACAGGGAAGTTAAGAATTTTCCGGGTGTAGGTGCCGATAGACGTGGGATAACCCACCGTTTTGTTTATAAATGGACACATAGCTATTTCTCTGATCAGGAAGCCAGTAGGTATACACCTGCATAAGCGTGCAGATAGATAAAGTAAGAAATAGCTATAGATAAACTTTATCTGTATCAATTTCTTTGTCTAATTATTGCGAGTGTAATAATATAAAGAATTGAAAAACAAGAAAAAGAAAATGTGTCTGTTTTTGTTATCGCATTAAATGGCTTAACCTGGCATGAGGCTTGTGAATGGAAACGTAACTTGGCCGATGAAGTCTCTACCAATAGGATCTTCATCCCACACAACAAATCGGAAATTTGCCAGATCCGGAAAAGTAAGAATAAAAATAATAGTCTCGTCCCAAACTGGATTGAAGCCTGAAAATTAATATAGCATAACATTAATCAAGTTCTGTTGTCATATCCCCCAACTCAAATACGTTTTCCGATTGGAGGAGAACGTGTCACGTGCCATGGGAACAAAACTGACTAACTCCCCGGGGAAACAACAACTTTCGACTTTGGACTCGCACGTGATCAGGTCGTGCACCTTGAAACAGCGGCAAATTTGTGTGCCAGTCGGCCAGAGGTCAAAAAGCCATTGAAGTCGGACAACGTTTCTCACTAGAGTAGGCATTCATTGTTCAAGAAAAGGGATTTATAATTCGGCGAAAACGTATTGAATTAACAAAGGGGAAATTTGAACATTCGGTGTCTTCAAGCTTTTAATTTGGCGCCAAAAACGGGTCGCTCGCGTTCGGCAACTCGCTCTTCGATCGCTGTCGCCACTCGCTAGGTAGGAAAATAGCTGTGTCATTTACAACAAAATATGCTGTTCCTCGTCAAATCAAACCCAGAAATCTTGAGTTAAGCATTTGCATAAGGTAAAGCAACTTAAGTATTGTCTTTATTTTTGATGGCTGCAAAGAAAAATACTGTTATCGTGTCGTTTCGGTAGGACAGCTCGGCTCGACTACCGCTCATGCAAATCATTTTTTTGTTGTTGTTGTTATTGTTTTTCTATTTTTGAGTTGGGAGGTATAACAAAACACTTAATGACTGGCCCCTCGGGAAACAGCGAGTTTTGTTTCCTCTCGACCCTGAACATTGAAGGTCTCTCTCACCGTTCCCCTTGAGGCCAGTCATTAAGTGCTTATTGTTCTTCTGGAGTGAATCGTTTGTTATCGCCAGTAGGTGGGAAAACAAATTAATTTGTTTTTAATTTAGAATGCAAGTGTCCAGGATAATCTGATACCATACGCCACGTAACTATAAGCGTTTCATGACGTTTTGATGAAAAATTATGTCTTGGTAAATTTTCTCTATTGCACAACCTAAATGAATTACTGTCTTTTGTGAATAAAGACCCCTTTTTCCACACTAGGCAATGTAAAGCCCAGCCTACACATGTCAGCTCGCGAGATAAGATTGCGCCAATGGGACAGTACTCCGTGAAAAACAAGAACAACAGAAAAATTACCGTTGTCCATCACTGTTTTCGTGCGCCTTTTGCAGTTGTCAGCTGGGATCCCTATCACCTCTATTTCCACGTACGGATCAATGATCTGTGATAATTATCAAGCTTCTTAATAATAGTATCAACAACGTCAAAATAAATAGCTTGGAAGGGCTTGACAATTCATAAAATGGAACTTTGTCAATCATTAGTGAGACGAGGGCCGCACTATTACTCGGTACATGTACATGTACACAAACAGTTAGAAAATTTAAGATGCTTGCTTACCTCGCCACGGTCGCCCAGTATGCTATCTTTTGGTTTGGGTAACTGCTGACCACTGATAACCTAATTCAAAGGGAGAGAAAGAAAAATGATTCATTTATGAAATGATCAATGACCAAACAATAAATACATAGTTTTGCTGTTTGGCGGTCAATGTTTTGAAGGAAACTATTGAATACTTTTTCGTCAAGGTTTAACGCTTGGGAATTAGTTGTTTTAGCAAAAATTATTAATATATATTTTTAAGGGGGGTGGGGAGGACTGGGATAAGGGGGAGGGGAGGCACTCCATCCTGCTAACCCGTTTTGATTTTAAACTTCTATTTGTCATTGGTCTTGGATTATGTTTTTGTTGATCGCGAGAGTTATTTTACACCTCACCTTTATCTTGCATAGCTTCCTACTGACCCCTCTAATCTCTTTTCTGGTCATCGGATCAAACTTTGGATCAGCTGAAATCGAATAGGGATAGATGAAACTTTTTTTTTTTTACTCCTATGAACATAATATTAAACCCGTACGTTACAGCTGAGGTATATAATATTTATTTTTTTACTAAAAGCGGATACCTTTCGTAAATCAGAACTGTAATAATGGCGTCCTATTGCTGGACCCTCAATGTTAGCATGCAATTAATACTGCCCTGACTACTGTGATTTCTGCATTGGTGTCCTCAAATAAGATTTCTAGAATACCTTCGCACATGACATCTGGCTTCAAAACATAACCACAATTTCCATTGGACTTGAATTTCCCTCTGTATATTTGCATCATACGTCCTTCTGTTTGATAATTCAGTGCAACTGAAAGAATCGAGCATGTGATCAATATGTGGAGAAATTCAGACTAACTATTAAATTCTACAAATTATAGTGCAGTCTAACAAGTGCTTCCTTCCTTAAAATAGCACAGGAAAATGTTATAAAAATATTATTACCGAGCTGACAGCCACAATTCCAGAACGCCTGAGGATTTGGATTGCTGGAGTCAATTCTGTAGCCTGCCGGGTATATTCGGCAAAGTTTATATCTTGTGTATCTCACGAACTCTTCGCCTTTGGTGTCAACATATCTGTAGGCTTTAGACTCGGGCACAGAGATGACTTCCCAAAATGTTTCTGTTAACGCGAAAAAAAATAAAAAAAATAAAAAATAAAATAATAATAATTATCATACGAACTGCATGTTGATAGCCCTAATAAAAGTATCATCAAAAATGTACACAAGTTATGGGACCAGGAAGCACCCAACGGTAGCCTGTAGGACAAGCTCCTCTTCCTCCTTACCCTGGACTTACTAGACTTACAGTTTTTCATTCGTCATTGCGTTAGGCTGCCGTGGCATGCCAAGCGCTGATTGGTAGATTTGAAACGGTCTGCATGACTTGAGTTCCTTTGGTCGCTGAGTTTGGCACCGATCATATTGAGAAAGGTGTTTCCGTGATTTCAGCATCGATTTTCTCGAAATATAATGGGAGGGGTGAAGCTCAAATTCGGCGAAGACACAGAGTAAAATCTCATCGATCAACAAACAGGCCGCGGATGGCGGCCGCCAAGTTGCAAGCCTTGTCTTCCTCTCTTGACTTACCGGTCTCCGGCCAAAGCTAACTTCGGTAAAATACACTTCAGACGGCCTAGGAAGGCGAAAAAACACCACACATGAGTCGATTAACGTTTCATTTAACTTTATTGGGATATTCAGACCGAGATGTAATTTAGATATGAAATTTTCAGAGCTTTTTTCGTAACCCTCATAGATTCTGTTCGTTTCATATAAACTATTATTAACAACAACACATAAAGTGGTCTGCCTGTGTATAAACTAACTAACTTGAACAGCATTAACTCTCAACATACCATTTTCGTTGAGATCCAGTCCTTTGAAGGCAGTTGACCTCGTGTACGCAACAAGGTCGGAAAGTTGTCTGCTGAGCTCGATCGTTCTTTTACAGTCATCCTAGTGTAGGCCCAGAAAATTTAACAATAAAGTGCTATTTTGTGAACGGTCGTTACTTTTTAACTACAAGTTCGAGAAGTTTTACGTCAGCACGCTTATTCAAACAAACTGAACAATACGTAGACGTACTCACTTCGTTCTTCGATGTTTTTCTCTTTTTACTTCGTCGTTTTATTTTCTGAAAGAAAAGGCCAAAAATGAAGGGAAAAAATATATATATATAGCATGGCGAGGATTAGCACTAAAACCTCAACTGCAGACCCATAACTAGCTAGTCAAAATACAAATGCAAGGAAGCAAGGTTTTCCTAACAGTCCACACCTGGGCCTTCGTTGTTTTTACAAATTTGAACCTGTAGGCTTTGGACGTTACTTTAGTAAACGCAGCTGAAACTACCAGATTACCCCCCTCCCACCCCCAATACGGCTGCGTAGTTCGTGCTTTTAACACACGAATATCACTTGTATTTGTTATTTAACTGATAACAGACGTCACACCTTATCTTTCTCACTGAAGCTTTTCACTTTCCTTATCTCAGCTGGTTGAGGATGCTGATGGGTGATATACTTTGCAGAGAGTGAACGTTGCAACTGAGAAGTATAAATGAATTTAATTTAATTACAAAAACAGATAAGTTATATATACTAAAGTATTTCATTTACCAGATTGATTTTATCCTGATCCCATGTTTACTTAAAAGGCTTTTTCCAAATCTTTCAAAGGGAGAAAAAATCGCAGCTATAAATGAACTCAACTAATCTCTCGCAAAGCTTGGATCATCAAACGAGTTAATGTATGAGGTTTTCCTAAGCTCTTATCAGGTGACTAAATGTTAAAGCTCGCCACTTTCAATCCCTCTGGAGACTAATGCTCATATAGAGCGATAGTCAGGCAAAGTAGTAAGTTCGTGAGAGCAACAGGTCCTTCAAACTGTCACACACCAACAATATAACTTTGGCCGTGAGTATGAAGGTGCCGTTCAACACCTTAGTACCCTTACGATTATCATGCTCCACGGACTTAGAGCTACTTACCACTACCAGAGATACCCCGCGTCACTGAATAAATTCAAAGAATTAATTACCCACCTTTGGCACAGTCTTTGAAGCCTCTGTTTGGCCTGGTTCTTCCAAAGCCACAGACGTAACAATTGCTGAACTAAGATCACCACGGGCGTCACTCTCCTCGTCTTCTTTGTTTAAACGGAGTCGTTGTAAGGAAGCCAAGGTGCGACGCCATTTGCGCTCTTTTGCTTTCTGTTCTAGTGGATTCTGGGATTGAATTGAAACCATCTTGAGGGGTAGGGGTATAAAAATGAGACTTAATTACTGTATTACGGGATCATTTCTTTGTCAGATCGATCAGATCATTCAAACTTATCTCATCTCCTCAGGTGGGTGTAAATTTTCTTGTTACTACACAGTTGAGCGAACCCACAGTGATCATCCCGGGGTGATTTCATAAATAGTTACTGTTAAGCAGTGAGTAAAATTTCAATAAATCCTTGGTTGTAGATTTCACTACTGATTAAGATTATTTAACGTTGAACATACAATTTGACGAATAGAGGGTGATCAAAATTGATGATCAAATGAAAGAAAAAGATATTGCTACAATGCTTCCTATTCTTACCTCACTACTTTTGCACTTAAAGCATTCCTCCATCTCGTCAGCGGAATCTTCTTCTGTAACCTCGCCTTCATTTAAATCTTCCTCAAATGTCGCTGGCAATTTTTTGGCCTATAGGGGACATTCGAAGATTACCCAGCAGTTCAGATGGGGCTAACTACAATGTTCCTTCTTAAAGCTCCTAAGTAATAACTTACGGGCAATAATAATAAACCGTGCTACAGTGACTAGAGAGATTGAAATCTGAATATTTTTTATTGACGGTACTTTGCATGGAACATATTATTCTCTAAGAAAACATCATTAGTACTCCATCGTTTTGACCTATTCCATCTTCTATGCTGGTCCGTTAGTTCCGTTAGTACAACAAATGCTCCGAAAGATCAAAAAAACAAAAAAAAAAAAAAAAAAAAACACGAGAAAGAAGATACAGGTAAACATAGCGGCAAATTATTTTACCTTAATTAAAACTTTACCCATCAAACTCTGCGGTGAAGGTAAATCGGTTCCATCAAAACTTGTTTCATAAATCAATTTGTCTGCAAAGCGTTAAGGACATCTCTAGTATACTTTTGAAGAAATGACGGAGAGGGAGTGGTTTAAGAACCCTCACACCCCTTATGAAATGCAGAAAATACCATACATTAGTTTGTAATTTGCCACCTCAAAATCTTCTGTGGAGCATACATTCTGACCCTCAGGGGTGACTAATTTGTGTCATTTGTGCTGAGCCCCTAAGACAGATATAAAACAATCACGGAACAGTGTGATAAAAGCTTAAAAATGGAGTTGAAGAAGTAACAAAGGATATCTTTAAAAATGTCTCGTAGAAGCTTCGCCATAACTTTTTGTTGGCTTACGCTGCAATGATTCTCAAGCGAAAGAATAACTGGATATCTAGAAGAAAAAAAAGATGTTAAAAGCATTTTTTTTCCGTGGGTTAGTTAATGCAGATAAGGACCCAATTGATCTTCTTAAGCGTCCCCTTCCTTTAATCAACTCCCCTAAAAGAGATGATGGAGGAATAGAGGTTGCCACGTTCGAATTCATATTTTTTCAACTAAAGAGCTTACATTGCTAGCTGCAAGTAAGCCTGGCGTTCTTTACCCTGGATTTATAATTATGCTTGTGGCAGAGGTGGATCCAGGATTTTCTTTAGAAGGGGGTGGAGCGTTATGAAATGGTCTAGCTGACAGTTGAGGTAAAAAAAAAAAAATTCAAAAGCGAATACGAAGAAGGCTTCATATCAGGGGGGGGGGAAGGTGCAGCTAATAATTAATTATAAACAATTACATAATTTTAATCATCCTACTTGTTGTTAAGGAAGGCAAAGTCGTTGATATTGAGAATGATGTAACGAAATTTGACTTTAGATGTCATCGTGTAACCATGATAAACCACTGGTTCCCCGTCTTTTCCGTCCCAGCAATCAACTGTAAGTGGTTTAAAAAAAAAATGGAATATTAGTAGTTATAAAAACGGCTTGGCAAACAAGGATATCTGTTGCCTAACAGCATGGAAAGTGTTCTGAAAAGTACTTTAACAATTTAGAGTTTCTGAAAGTTGTTACCCAATTGAAGATAGGATATAGTCGACTCCAATTTATTATAACACTGCCCTTTTGAGAAAGCAATGACTGAGTATGGTATTTTAAAATGGGGCGGGAGGGGGGTGGGTGGGTATAGCAGTTCGAAAGATGTCGCCTCTGTTTGCAGCCAACGAGAATATGTCATGCTAATACGTATAGAACTAAATAGTTGAACCTGATCTGCTGCTGTATAAATAATTCCAAAATCAAATCGATTATCTTACTCTCAATACACCGGCAACCCGACTGCAGAACTCTCACGTACATGTCCATACTTGAATTTGATGTCAGCTGATCTCCAAGAAGGTAACTACGATATTAAAACATCACTGCTATTAAGATATACGTGGTAAATAACTGTACAACAGGGAATATAGTTATCAAGGATAATACCATCTACAGTTACTGACCAATGATAGCATAAGCACTTAACTATTTACTTCTTCAATAATGTTTTATTAGAACTTGTTGAAACCAAAATAGCGTAAATTACTATACAAACTTGGAAACCTACGTGTTATGCGAGGAAGCAATAAAATAGTGAGACAAAGGTCTCGTCATATCTTGGTTGACTTTGGAATGCAGTGAATTAAGCATGTCACCTTCTGGGCCCAGCAGATAACTGGTGAACCCTATAGTGTGGAACAAACATGAAACAGAGAGCATAAACTCAATATAATATTTAATAAAGAGCGATGCATCGTTAACATGAAAACTCACTGCATATTATTTGTAATATTTTAGTATGACAGGAAGCACGTGCGCCTAAAATGTTCCTCAGTGTCCTTAACCGAAGAGAGACTCGAAAAAGAGGAAGGGACACTGATAGTCATTTAGTGATAGCCATAAACCTAGAGCCCTTTAATATGGTCAGTAACAATCACTGACGTAGGTACAAGACATAATAAGCATGTATTCAACAATAGCTAGCTCAAAAATAAGCCATCTCTCAGAAATGATAATTTTGAGAACGTGGAAGTCGCCAAAACTACTTCCCTCGAATCTTTTTCGTCCGTCATCTAATGCAAAAATGAATTAACTGGCTTTCTTTTCATTTTTTATGAGGTAAAGGCAAACAAAGTGGCTGCAGCTGACTACCGTCAATTCCAAGAATGCCGACACTTCTGTTTTCTTGCACAGGCTCGTAGGTTTGGATGATTTGACAGCAGTGCTCAACTGTTACATCGGTCATCTACACCCAGCGTGTATTCAGAGCATAACATGAAAAGCAGAAATAGCATTAACTAACTGAACACAGATGATAACTGAGTGTAAAAATATGCTATTAAAAATGATTCTGATATTAATTGTCCTACTGCTTGATTAAAAAAACAAAACAAAAAACGTTGATCCAGAAGATTTTGTGGTCGGACCCCGAAAATGGGAAAGGCGTGGGATTCGACAGTCACACAGGAAGGAATAGTTTACCGCCGAAGTGTTGATGAGTTAGATTAATCTGCGACGCGATACACCATTTAAATGGGCGTCTCTTGTTTAGAATGGTATAGTTACAGTACCAAAGAGAAATTCCACCCCTTCCGCTAGAGTGCCCACCGATTGTCCCCCCTCCCCTCCCCAGTCCCCAGTTCAAATCCTACATCTCTGTGATAGCGCTCAAAAGGTCAACTTTTCAAGCTTTGTACAAGCTTTGATTGGCCTTGTTCGGCTTTAGTAAATATCAGCAGAAGTAATATCATTCACTAAACATATATATGCTTCTATAGGAAAATCTGCATTAGGATTAGCAAGGGGTTAAGTAAGTCGATTTACCGTTTCTATGACATCCAGTTAGGTGATAGCACAGCACAGAGTAAAGTAATAATACTAGTAAGAAGATATTTATTATGAACAGAGGTAGACGGCAAACGTGTAAAATGTCCGTTATATACCTTCTGTTCTGTTTTTAGAAACATTTTAAGCTCGGCCACTGTCATGTGCTCTTTACTATTCCCATATCTGTGAACAGAGATTAAAAGAAATTCATTCAATGACATAGGAGTCGACGAGGAACAAAGGCCACGCTTTTGCATCGAAACATCTATATGTTTATCGGCAATACTTTCCGGCATAAGCTCACATTAGATGCCTACTTGCCTAGGGATTGGTTTCGATTCATCGTTATTAGAATAACAATAGAAAAACATAAATGATTGGTAAACTCAAATTATTACATGAAACCACGACGCGAACTGCTGTAACCCTTATAATACATGCGTTTAATTTATTTGAATTTAATAACTTGGAATTCAATCTTACTTCAGTAATAGAAGATAAAGTTCTCTCCTTGTAGATATGCTTTTGTAAAAGTTGATAAATTCATTAAAATCCAACAGACCCTCAGAGTCTTGATCATCAGTGTCGGCAGCCTGCAATAGGTTATAGACAAGGAAACTGTTATGCCTCCTTTGTTTAATGGTCCTTGTGTAACTGCTGGGCTTCGTGTGATCCAACCGGGTTTCCTTTGGAGTGGTATTCAGTCTCGAGCATGAGCAGAAGTGGCCCTTTTCGAGCGGAGACCACAAGGGCCACCGAGTTCAGTCAGACCGCAGTTTAATTGGCTTTCACGGTTTTAATTCTCAGTTCGTATGGTTCGTATATATGGCAGTTTTAGTTGTGTTTTTAACAAGGCCTACGTATACCTGCGTAATGCTTTTATGGAATCAGAATTAACGTTGAAATTCAGACGTAGCTGTTAATGGTTTATGGTTGTTTATGGTTAGTCACCGCTCGCACCTACACTTTGCATAGAGATTAGACAGTTAGTACAGATGCACTTAGCAAAAGTTGAAGTAAAAGTACAAACCTTAAAAGCTTCTCTTAATTTCCTGTTTGTTATTTTGACATTGAGTTTGTGCATCAAGGAAAAGACTTCATCCACGCTGAGCAGTCCATCGCCACTTTTGTCAGCTAAGAGAAACATTTCCTTTAACCATCTGAATCGGTGTCAAAGAAAATGTACAAAACAAATGAAAGTAACTATCTGTACTGTGTTGTGTTTGTATGACGCATGTTGCTGTGAGGACTAAACAACGACACCAACAATGCAACACGAAAATAAATTCGACGAAAGATGGTTGCATATCTAAAAAGACGTTTCTAGTGGCGCGCTAAACCCGCCCAAAATTAATAGTTTTTCTTTATCTGCACTCTCGCAACTTAATTAGAACAGGGGTATCCCACAATTTCGCTCCAAAAGCTCACAAATACCTTCAAATATTAAATTTTGCGAAAGCTAGTAGTAGACAAGTCAACTAATCTTTAAATATCTTCCCAACACTATCACTTATTGGTTCATTTTCCTTTTAATTTTCTTTCTGTTTAAGAGTATTGCTTACTTTACTGCGGAATCCTCCATGGATCTGTTAAAAGAAATTATTATTTATCAGTATTAAATTCCATTTTGACTTTATTAGAAACTTGGAAAGCAAAGTTCATTTCCTGTTTGAAAGGATACTGATCCCTCGAGGTTTGACGACGAAGTGGTTCATCCTCAGCTGCAATTGAAAAAATGTTGGGCCTTTTTGAGAACGAAGTTTAAACGAATATTCTCTGAACTAAAATGTCATCAAATTCTAAGATGGTATGACCTCCATGCAAAGGCGACCTTCAGCCAGTGCATTGTGCCAGTTGCGATTCTATTCAATCCAAAATTCTGCTTTGAATTCCCGGATTATTCTGTTTGCGAGCGAAGCAGCATTTACTGGAATTTCAAGAAAGGAAGGAACTACCGGAAGATATACCCAAATTTGGAAAAATCGAATCAGGAATTTAGATTCCTTTTTTATTATATAAAAGTCAGTGGTATACCGGGTGGTAACAAATTGATAAAAACGATATGATATCCTCACAAGTGACGACATGATATCCTCACACGTGAAGATATCATGTTTGATAACATTTCTCTTTTGTCCCTTTAACTACACTTAAATTTGTTAGTGTATGATCGAAACATCTTCGGATCTTCTTCGGTTGTCTTCGGCAATCTTCGGTAATCTTAGGTAAATATTCGGACATGTTCGGAAAATGCTCGGAAACGTTCGTCCGGCCTTCTGAAAAATTTTGGAAAATTTTCGGACATCTTGGGAAAGTGGTCGGAAATCTTCGGAGAATCGTCAAAAACGGCGTCATCAGCATGTCTACATAATAAAAAGAACATTACACGTTAGCTTGAAGGCAAAAACAATATCTCGCTTGTTCGCTCCGTGCACTCGTGAGATATAGTTCTTGACATTCGAACATAAAATTCGTATCTTCTCGCCACCGTGTAATATCCTCTATGTATTGTATTGCTGGATGAAGGAGTTAAGAAGTGAAACAACGAAGACAAGTCCGAAGATGATAGCAACAGCAAGAAATAACGAAAGCAAAAAGATCGAGTAAGAAAGGCAAACAAACAAACAGGCAAATAACCACACAATCAGATAATTGCAACCTGGGAAATGTTAACTAATTTACCGGTCAGTTTTAAGTTAATTACATGTAGACAGTTTGTCAGTTTAAGAAATGAACATTTAACGAGTGACTAACACATTTAAGTAACCGTGATATCGCGGAACGTCAGGCTGGTAGTGAAGTTCATTCAACAGTGGAAGAATGAAGTATTTACCTGGAAAGATGCCTGGTGAAGGAGTGAAGAATAAAGAGAAGATGAAATTGAGTAAAGATGCGGTAAACTGTATTACATCAAGATTAGTTTGATGACGAGGTGAGAGTATAAGAAATACGAACAAAAGAAGGCAAAAATGAAGTGCTACAGGGTTACTTCACACAGAATGTCACAGAAATACAGGTGATGCATTACGAAATCCCACATTGGAATAAAATTATGATACTACTAAATGACTTCGTAGCAACAATTTCGCAGAGATTGTTTAAAACTGGATAGACTGCACGAAACAGCTGTAAACACAATCGTTGTCGTCGCCGTTATTGTTATCGCCATCACTGATCATTACACATTTTTTTTTTTTTTTTTTTTTTTTTTTTTTTTTTTTTTTTTTGTCATATAGGATGTCGATGTAGTTGGTAATGATATTCTATCTCTGGTGTACTACTTTTTTAATCTGATGCCTCTGTCACGTGGGTCCAGGTACCGCTAAAAATCTCTGTGTTTATTTTAAAAGAAAATATTTTAGTCAAATGCTGCAAGTCCTTGACATGGTGTTAACTTTTGTCACCTTAAAAAAGTTCAAACTAAATTTTTCAAATTCGTCGTTTGTAATCCTTGTCAATCTTCACTATCCTTAACCATCCTTGTTTCTTTATGGTTTATTATTATCTCTTTGGTGTTTTTCTATCTTAGTAAACTACTATTTTCAGGTTTCCTTCAATTTAGAGG